TATATATCCTTTACAGTTAAAGAAGTATGAGACAAAATTAATTAAATTTTAGTAGAAATAGAAAGGTTCTTTACCAAAGATATACCAACGATGCCTTATAAAGTTCTAGCCAAAAATTAACAAATTACATCAACAAAACAATTAAAGTGTATTATGTGCAGTCAAGCCTTCAAAGACCTGACAAAAATAATTGATACATATTGGGCCCGTAACCAGCTTGAGAAACGATGAGGTTATCAATTTATAATGTGAACAGAACTTACTTTGTGACTTTGTGGGGATGGTCTCACCCAGTGCTCCCGGAAAATCTTTATAGATGTTGAGAAAATGTTTTATTTCCAAGCATTTTCAGAAAGCAATTTACAAGCAAGCAACTAATATTCTTCAGTTTTTAAAGACAAGAGAAAGAACTATGCATTTATCAAATTCCACATAAGCGGAACTCACTGTAAGAGATCCTCCGATCCCCAGACCTCTGGTTACGGGCCTGCATATGCTAAGAAACAAAGCATTAACTGTCAGCTTATCATCCATAAGTGGGTCAATTATTATATAATTTAAACACTGACCCAGTATTATTTTAATTCAACAATAGCATTTATTTTAATGTATTTTTTTTGTCTAAAATGTGTTGAATATATTTCAGTATTAGGACTATCAACTAATCTTGTGAAAATGATGAAAATAATGGATTACCCCTTATACTTTATGGAGTTTTTAACACTTTTTGAGTGAAGATTTGGTGAAGGAAATAAAATTATATGAAAATAAGGTGTGTGTAAGCCATAGATGATAAGCTAACAATTTTATTATGGGCCCTTTAAAAAACTAAATAACCATAATAATTACAATTGTGGAGTTAATACAGAGTTCAATACTTACTTGTTTATGGAATCATTATGTGTACCCTAGATTTAAAAGTGATTTTGTGCAGTTATATATTGTATTATTGTAGGTTTTACTTCCTTCACATACTCCAGTTGGGTGGTACAAAAGTTTCTTTCCAATGGCTTCTTAATTGGCTCACACAAAACACTTGGCTTTTTTTTCTCACATTTAAAAACAACTCCATTCCTTTCCAAGTATATATACAGTTGTGTATCTGTACCTTTGAGTAAACAAAGCCTAGCTATATTTTGAGATAAATCAGTAATAAATACTATTCCTTCTCATTCAACTTGCAAGGCATTTTGCCAATTCAGTAATAACTGAAAAATGACCACTGTTTACTTGTGGCCTTCAATATATTTATAGCTAAAAATGAGGAGAAAGGTTTTATCTGTCTGCTCTCTGCTATTAGATGATGACTGCATGGTGATCTGTTACTGCCATGCAGTAGCAGCAGGAGCAAGCCTGAAGCAAGAGGGGTGTATGATAGGGAAAGGGATGGATACACACTGCTCTTCACCCAGCACACACCCAACACATACATACACAACCCAATATACATTCAGACACTGACTCATACACACTTGCATAAAGCACTCACTGCCTTATTGTACATAGACCCCCAATTGGTACTGTACCCCCACGACCCCACAATACCAGCTACACATAGGCCTATGTATACACATACATATATTCTCACATACCCAAATATGGCCCACACACACATCCATCTACCTAGTTGTTACACTCCACTGCTGGAGGAAAAGCTCGAGCAGCATTTCCTCTACATTCTGTGCAACTCTAATCTCTGATTTCATATATCCATCTTCTCTGTCTGCCTCTCCTCCTCGCTCAATCTTTTGGCAATAACTCCACTAATTTATGAGTTGCTTTTTCTCCTTGATATGTGGCTGCCCACCAGCATGTTCTCTTCTTTATTAGTCCCAACACATGAAAACAACCCACTTTTGCATATAAACCTATACATCCACACACACACACACACACATATTATGCACTTGTACATAAATGCTTCATACATACACACTAACACAATGATTTCAGCTTACACAAGACCCATGACCTCTTACCATATGCACCCCTCAGAATCAAAGACATACAGACACATAACCCACACATACTACACCTGTCCAAAATACATGTATAAATACTCCTTACATACACCCTAACACATACTCATGTACACCCCTACAAAACTATTCATGGACAGGTTGTTGAAGGCTGATGAAGAATGACACACAAAGATGAATGGTAGGCAATCATTATGGTAGCTTTGTGATAAACATGAAAATGAATGTATAAAATGCTGAAAATATTTTACAACATTGAATTACTATAATATTATTGATTGACATACATAGATGAATACTAAATACGGACAATGAAAACAATGAGAACAACAGAGTTGAAATGAAAGAGATGACAGAATGAATGCAAAAAAGCAATGGTAGAAAAGCAATGCAGGCGAAGCCCCGCAGTTAACAGACAGATACCTAACATCCTCCTATGGTGGTGCTGTCGTCTAAGCCGGAATCCAACAACCGGATTCGGTGATTCATCCTCACCTAGCTTGATGGAACCATCGGATACACAGGGTACCAGTAACTTGTGGCTTGGGGAACTCTGTAACGGGAAAAAAAAAAAACTGATATAAAACCCAAATACATTTGTAATGTTCAATTCACCCTAAGCAATTGACATGTCTACAAGTACGCGAAGCCCCACCCACAAAGTCACAAAAACCTTAGACAATGGCGGCTAGACTTACCGAGTTGGTATCAACCTTCTTTAAGAAAGAGAATTCAGGGTAGGCGGTATGCAAATGAATCATATATTCATAGTGTTAATCTATTTCATGGAACAGGTGGGGAAATTGTTGTAAAAGCCTCTGTATTTCGCACCCAAAGGAAGAGGGAAAAGTCGCATTCAGTAAACCTCGTTGTCTGCAAAGGCCAAGTCAGGATGCGCACTGCTCGTGTAAATCTGGGTATCTATAACCAAGCATAGACATCTAGGCCTAGGCTCACATGTGTTTCGCGTCTAAGGAAATTAAAATGTCTCAGAAAAAGTTTTTGATCACGTGACTAAATGACGCTCGCTGATTAGTCAGTTTATCTGCCAATCAAATCTCGTTGAGATGTTAATTAGACAAATGACTGCCAAGTGCCTTCTTACCAGTACCAATATCAGTACCAAACTCTACTCTAGTAATACTATTAATACTGTATTTGGTTTAATAATGTATGTTTTTGTCTTATTAAAATTATTAAAAAAGGAGCTAGAAATACTGAAACTCACTGATTGGTTAGAGGCAGTGTCTGCTGACTGCATGCTCGTCTCCAATCCTGGCATTTCTTCAGATTCTAATGTTCTAACTGCATTGGGTGTGATGCACGTTGGTATGCTGTACCGCTTACTCTCACTCGCTAGGAAATTGTGCTGTGTTATTGACGGATCTTTGTTACTTGTTTCTTTCTGCATGATATAAATTATACGAAAAACAGTTTTTTTAAGCACCCGTAAACAAAAGACAAACAATTTCTTTACTTTGCGAAAGCAAAGTGACATTTGGGAATCAACCAGTCAAAAATCTAAATCTAAAAAGAAACAAATAATTCTTATCACACACAATAATAACAAAAAAAAGAAAAAAAAAAACAATTTCAACAAAAACGTGAGACTTTTTTATACCTTGTTTAGTGAACATTGACAACTTCAAAATAAAATATTATTTTTGGCCAATTAGCGCACCCACCGCCATGAAGAAATGGAAATTTAGAAAAAAAATAAAAGTTCTTCTTTATTTTTACTATGCCCTCCACTGCCTTGAAATCGCCAAAGATAATATATGTATATTTCTTCCTTATATATATTTGAAGCATTTAACCATCCCATTTTACATTCACCAACAAAATTTTATTTTTATTTTCTCCTCCACTCCGTCTGGATGTTTTTGGCAAAACTATTAGCTAATTAATAAGAAAAATTTTTTTATTTTTATTCCGCCCTCCTTCGATGATCTTTTAAAAAATAAGTATGTGAAACAAGGAATAAAGTCTCGCCTAATGTTTGGCATTTATATACAGAATCACTTCGTTAGGGCCCCATTGCAAATAAGTGGCCCTTTCTACTTTACGGATTATTATCTATAGTTTAACTTCATCACAATTTTTATCAATTTCAATTATTGCTATCTTGTCTTTTAAATTTCTAAAATATGTAAGCTGTTTTTATACTGTTTGAATTGTATATGTTTCTATATTCTGTTTTATGTGTGTATTTTCAAAATGAAGCTGAATAAATTCAACTCCAACCATTTCTAATCACGGAATGTCTTGCAATGTACTTTCCATAGTTACAAAAATCAAATATCATAACCGCATAAAATTTTGGCTTCTAGAATTTTTACAGGGAGCATGTGGCGTACTTATAAAAAAAAAAAAAAAAAAAATCACCTCATATATAACCATATTTTGCGAGCTAGCGACCCTCACTTACTCACTGATCCCCCGCTCTCCCCCTGCAATTTTGTTCCCCCAATCATCTCCCCATTTCACGACTTCTATATATGCCAATTACAGGAAGAACTTACTGTCTTGCGTTTCTTAATGCACTTTTCAAGCCAATTTCTTATTGTATCTTTGGCAACCTCTTCTTCAATATTGTATTCAAGCTCTTCTCTGGCCATCAATTCATCTAGCTGAAGCGATTTTCGTATATCAACAGTACGGTATGACAACATGCTGCAAAGAACGAAGACACGTATTGTTCAAATGCAGTGTACCTGTTGAGTTATAATTTCAGACAATATGTTTACCAGACACAGTGCATCTGAACCAACACAGTGTACTGTCCTGACAAACAGTTCACATGAAATGTACACAGACACAGTGGATTGCCCTGATACAGTACAGGTCTACCTGAAACATACAGGCAAATCCAAGCAAAGTTTGATCAGTACTATTCAGATACAATGCACTTGTAGCACATAGGTTATATATGACTGGACAGACACTTTATACTCGGTACGTTCCCAAATATGTGCTAACACCATTTGCAAGCCGTGATTCTGGTGGGAATCGAACCTGGTGTCATAACCATTAGACCACTGATGATGTTGTACTATAGCTTCTGCTACTACTGAATTTGGACTTTACCTGAGAACATCATGGAAGTTAACATCTTGTCCATTTCTCATCTTCTCAATTTCACAACACATGTGCTTGTAGTTAAGGTGATCCTTTTCCATATCCACTTCGAGACGCCCTCGCAGAAGGCGTAATACAAATTTTACACGACTTACCGGAATAACACCCTAGAAAAAATTATTAAAAACCATTGTTGATTTTAGAGAAATATGAAAATAAAACACATGAATTCTATATGGATGTTAAAAAAAAGTACCATTATTTGAACGATCATCAATTTACTCTGTCATAATATATTTTGTAGTTATGTGTAGGTTAGGCGTGAGTTTTTATACTTTGTTTTTAAGTGAACTCTATTTTTGAAAGACTTTCAGCAGAGGGCAAGATATCACGGTCAATGTGCAGGATTGGTTTTTTTGTATCAATATAAGTTTAATACCTACCCTCCTGTTTATGTCAACCATATTCCATGTGGTTTGGAAATTTTTGATGTCTGCATAGCTTAGCAAGGCATCCTCTTCACTTGAGTAAAATAAGGAGAAATTCTCCATGATGATACCTAGTGTGAATATATACAATGATTATATAATAATATAAAATGTGTCTGCTGCAGTAGCAGTGGTGACACCAGCTGAAGGGGGGGAAGGGCAGGGAAATGCCCAACAGGTTAAGGGTCATGGTCAATGTTCATAGCCATTTGGCACATTAAAGCAATCTTGGCCCATTCCTAATAGCTCTAAGCACTTCAAATTATTACCATGAAACGTTGCACATACAGTACACATGAGGAAATATTAATGTTGCAGTTAGTAATCAGTGTAATTTCAGTGGTGTATCTAATTGTATTTTTTATTGG